AGAACAGAAAGAACTATATGAAAGTAAAAGATATAACTATGTAACACGGTTTTTTTCTAATGTTTACTATTATATCTATTGCGATGAGAAACAATGAAATAATTCTCAACTTATCATATCCTGTTAGTACTTAATGCAATAAGTTTTTCATTCTTTATATAAAATCAAATCGTCGACAATAACAAGTTTAATCATAGTTACCAAAATAACGTATCAATTACCTTAGTATATGTTATTTGTAAAATAAACACACGGAATATCATACAATAGAATAAAATAGAATATGTAAACATTTGCAATAACCATATCAACCGTAATTACAATTTTGGATCTGAATTCAACCGAAAAAGCTTATCAGCGCAGCCCCGTTGGGGCTAAAAATGTGGAACTCACGTATATTCGCATCGAAATATCTGATCATGTTTAAGTGCTTTGTCTTCTTTTTTTACTCAAATTCAATTAATTTATAGCTGTTTTCGTTATTTTAATTAAATTTGCAGTAATTTATGGCCATTTTTACTAATTTTTGCTTATTTTTATTAAAATTCTACTAATTTATAACTGTATTTAACCACTTTGCTTATTTTTTATAGAAAACCTCGCAGTTTATAGGTATTTTAACTCTTTTTCAGTATTTCTATTAAAATTTTAGCAATTTATAGCTATTTCTAATGATTTTTGCGTATTTTTATTGATTTTGGGGGGGGGGGGGGGGGGGGGGCTTGAAAGTCTGAACTTAAAACTTACACTCACTATTTTCTTCGAAAATTTACGTGAGTTCCACAAAAGATAAATTTCAGAGTATTATTTCATTGTCTATTTGGATTATAAACATTATATTTCGATGTTAAATCTTTCATTTTAATAATATTATTTAATGTGTATAACTTTTTTTTATCTATATAATTTTTTGTAAAGTGATGAATATTTCACTTTATATTCAAACTAGACATCAAGTTAGATAACTAGAATTATTCGCATTGTTTTAATCATTTGTTTTGCAAAGTTCAATCATAAAATTATCACTTATGTGATACAAAAGAAAAACAATCAAACACGAAAATGATAAACAAATACTTTCACGTATTGTTATGATAAGAGAGAAAAGAAAAGAGAAATATATAACTAATTTCTTTCTATCAAATAACAAAAACAAATATCTTTTCTCTTTTTATTCAACTACGACATTGTTTATTTTGAAGGAATCAAAAGCAGCCTTTCGCAAAATAAATTCGACATTATTTACAATGATAAAATATTATCGAATATTAAATTAAACTTGTTATTTTAAACGATCTTATTGAACATTTGAACATTCAATACCAATTATAGATTTAACTGGATCTTATAAAAGTTTCACAAAACGTTAAGAATTAGCAAAACAAATAGATAAAATATGTCAAACAATTGTTTTTTTTATTATAACTGGTCATTTAATTGATGAACAAATTCAGAATGATATGATGAAAATATCAAAAGAATTTTTTGATTTACCATCAAATATAAAAAAAGAAATAATTAGTTCAAAACATTATCCATATGGTTATAATGGTTTAAATGATGAAAATTTATCACTTGGATACAAAAACTCAGCAACAATTTTATTATCGGATGTGAAAGAAAGTTTTTCTATTGGACCGGAACATGAACAAAAAATACGTTGGCCATCAAAAGCTTTATAAATGTCTTCAATTTAGTTAAATTATTATACACAATATCAACAATTATCTCAACATTTATATAAATTATTAGCATTAACATTAAATTTAGATGAACATGGTTTGATAATAAAATAAATGAACATCGTTGTGTATTACGTTCATTATATTATCCATCATTATTATCACCATTATCATAAAATCAATATCGATCAAGTCCACATACAGATTATGAATCATTTACAATATTAAAACAAGATTCTGTTTCAGGTTTACAAGCACAAAATCATTTTAATGGTAAATGAATTGATGTACCTTTTATTGAAGATAGTTTTGTTATTAATTTAGGTGATTTAGTGTCTCGATGGACAATGATCACTGGATATCAACACCACATCGTGTTATTGCATCATTAAATAATAATCCAGCTCGTCAAAGTATTGCATATTTTTGTCAAATAAATCCTGATGAAATAGTTACATGTATACCAACATGTTCTTCCAAAAATACACCATCAAAATATCCACCTATTCAATCATGAGATTTAATTATGCAAAAATATTTCGCATCAACTCAAAAAAATAAATTATAATATTAACTTTTTCTCTTTTTTTGTATAGAAATATTACATTGTGATTATGTAGAATAAATAATCTTCATGTATGAATAATCCAGCTTCTCAATTAAATTAAGATTAAGATAAAATAAATAAATTCAGGAAATTAATACATTCTTCGAATTTCTTTACAAAGGACTGCTCATTTCAAAATAAAAAGTGAGTAGGTATTTTTTGAATAATTTTTGATAGGAACAATATGGAGATCTGTTACATTCATTATTGGATAGAGATATACTCTTTTTGAGAAATATTTCCAGTACAAATTTCGACGCGTCTTCATTAGTGAAAAGCGCATATCTCCATCTTATTCTTATTGAAAGTTATGCAAAAAATAATCATTCGCGTTTTATTTTAGAACAAATGGTAGTCGCGTATGTATGATCTAAAAAATGTTTTCGAAATCGTTTCGATGCTGCGCAATAACAATAGAACAAACTCTAAGAAAATAAAAGAATTATTTATATAATCTATTGACTACCAGAAAAAATAAATTACTTACTGGAAATGTACCATAGTGATAAGTAATAACAATCATTTGAATCAATTGCTTTTGAGTCTAAAGAAATGCATTCTTAGATATGCTTCCCGTTGCACAATCTCAAATGGAATTTCATGACAAAACCAGAATCATAAAAAGAAACTAATTAGAATATATCGAGCAATTTGTATTTACTTTTCTTCGTAAAGGAACTCATAATGAAGGACAAAGACGAGTAAAAGAATTTAAAACGACAATCTCAAGAAATGTATAGTATACAGTAGTAGTTATGTTTGTCACATAATTTTTTTTTGTTAATGTGAATGTGTTTGTGATATAATATTCCAGGATCAAATTTCGATATTGATATACAAAGAAAAATGATAAATAAAATATTTGTTGACTCTCCTTAATTTGATCGAAAATTCGTTGATATATTTTTTTCATAACTGATTAATGATTATTTTTAATCTTTCGGAATTATAGAGCACGTCTCATCGGTCATAGAAAAAACTACTATTTATCTATCCAAATTAATTTGCAAACGATCTATAGCGATTAACAAAATAAACTCCAAATGATCGAAATATATATCATAAAAAAGAGAGAAATGCATATGCTGATTATTTGCGACATCTGAGCTAAGAAATAGGTAATATTCCAAAAATTCTGTAATTGGTTCGTGCATTTCGTTAGTCACAATCAACATATAGAGTATCATCCATGCAGGAGGCAGGCAGATAGAACAAAAAAATGAGAATGAGGGTATTGATTTCGATCCTTGGTTGACTCATATTCACAAGATTCAATATTTAAAATAAAAAAATCTTTTTCTTATAAAATATTATTATAAATTATAAAAAAGAATTCTATTGATAATATTTTATCTATTATTAGATTTTTATTTATTTGAATATCTCAATCTAAGAATGAAAAAAAAAGGAATATTATTTTATCACTTTTTTTGTGATATTATCTCAATATCCTTATTTGTCAAATTTCTTTCTTAATATGATATTTATAAATCTTATATAAAATAAAGATGTTTTATTAAATATCTACAGAATAAGTTTACGAAATTTTATAAATAAATCATTGAAATTAAAATAAATATTATCCTAAATTAAAGTATTAATCAGTTTAATAAAAATAATCATATCATAGAATTATTATTTGAGTAAAATTAATTTAAACAAAATTTTCCTTTTTAAAATTTACCAAAAACAATTCTACAATTCTTTTTTTGTTTTTATCTGTTAGAACTATGAAGAATATGATATTCATTTTAATTCGAATACAAATATTACAAAATAAAACAAAAAATTTTAATTACTTCTCATCAGATTTTTATATCGAAATAATAGAAAACTTAAATTATATAATTCTTTTCTTTTCATTTGTACTTTTCCATATAATTATCAATAAAACATTTGATTCTAATATTATAATAGAAGATTATATTTGTTTTTCTCTAAACGATGATGCATTAGCTGCAATGACGATCACAGCAATAATTATAAGGCATAAATATTTCGACATTCTCATATTCAATATCAACGATTGTTTAATTTTATTGTTGAATAATAATTAATAATGAATATTAAATGAGATAATTTTTGTTGAGATTTTTAAAAGTTTATATGCGATATAAATGATCATTTTGATGTGGAAAAAATATATTCTTTTTTTATTTAATATTCATTACGTCAATTTTTTGATTTATTTTAAAATTAAATGAAGAAATAATTATAAAATATGATCATATTTGAATTTAATTAAAAACTACTGAGTGCTGTCAATAATAAAAAAGAAAATAATATTTAATATGGGAATAGTTTAAAGGGTAGAGTGATGACGTCATCTTATTTTTTTTTCTTGTTCTTGTCTATGTAATAAAAAAAAGGTATGTTTTATAAATAGAGACGAAAACAAGAGACGAAAAAAAGAAACGACAAAAAAATCATGAATAAGACAAAACTTGCACTTGATAATATGAGAAAAATACTCGGTTTATCTGTTTGAAAATGAAGGGTTCTTTTTGTGTGAACATGAAATTTAAAAACAAGGTAAGTAATTATTGATTTTGATTTTTATTCGAAATAATTTTATTTGCACAAAATAATAATATATTCCTTTTTTCAAAAACGATAGTCAGTATACCTGAAAATAAAAATAGTTTTTATTGTATATTACGTTTAAAAGACAAATTTCAGTCATTTACACATTAAATATAAATTATGATTTTTTTGTCAAAATGGATCTTATATTTCATTAATAAAAATTATATCAGTTGTGTGATACTAACTTCTATTATGAAAAAAGGTAAAAAATACCAAGTGATAATTTAAAATCTATCATTATAATGTATATATATTTTCTTCAATAGGATATAAAATATAGATAAAAAAATTATTTATGTATAATTAGATTCTTTAATTATAAGAAAGTGTTTAGAAAGAATACATTTCTATGAAAAATATCACTATTTCGTGTCAGAAAATTTTTTTTCAGATAATTATTAAACTAAAATTTCCTATTATAGAATTCTCAATTAATTTAATGAAAATAAATATTGAGAATTAAAAATAGGATCAATATAATTCGATGTAATTTTATAGTCGCAAAATATTTCCCTAACATACATTAATATTTTAATAAACATATCTTCTAAAATATTTGTACACTGATATCTCATATACGAATTTTCAGTCAATAATACCATATTGATTTATTTTGGTAGAACTTCGTCAGGTGTTTTTTCTTTTAATATTATTAAATATAAAGTACAATATAAATATTCGTTTTCATTTTCTATTTTATTTGATGTATTCATTACGTGACAAAGACTTTTTGAATTTCATCATATACATAGTCAATACTTTCTCTACGGTTTAAATTTCGTTATTGAAACAAAAACAAAATATTATTATTTTGTACAAGTAAAATTATTTGAAATAAATATTTATTTTTTCTCTCATATTATCAAGTGCAAATTTGGTCTTATTCATGATTTTTTTCGTCGTTTCTTTTTTTCGTTTCTATTTATAAAACATACCTTTTTTTTATTACATAGACAAAAATAAGAAGAAAAAAAAGATAACGTCATCACTCTACCCTTTAAACTATTCTCGAATATTAAACATTATTTTCTTTTTTATTGTCAACAACACTTAGTAGTTTTTAATTAAATTCAGATATGATCATATTTTATAATTATTTCTTCATTTAATTTTAAAATAAATCAGAAGACTGACGTAATGGATATTAAACAAAAAAGAATATATTTTTTTCCACATCAATGATTGTGACAATATAAAAGATTGTACAGTTCTCTTTTCTACTTTCTCCATGCTTCTTCTTTCCTTTGATTTCTTTTCTTTCTTCTTCCTTTTTCCTTTCTGTCTCTACTTTGTACCGATGCTTATACCATATGGAGAACATGCGCTTATCATCCGCTGATACATCATATGATCCATATGTTACATTATTATCCTCTGACTTCTTTATGTACCCAACTATGGAAAACAATTTGAGATCTTATACTTATCCGTTCTATTTAAAACTCTTCTTATGCTTTAGACCTAACCCATGATATCAATGCGTGTTACTTAGATGATAAACATTAGTTTTGTACTTAGATATTTATGTGTTCGTGTGCGACTATATCTTTTCAAATGTACTATATAAAGAACGAGGAAAATACAGTATAATTGCGATTTCTTTGGAACAATAAAAGTTTATATAAATACATATTTTTATACAGTTCTATAATAACTCAGAAGTTGTTACAATGATCATTTATATCATATATAAATCTTTGACAATCTCAAAAAAAAATTATCTCATTTAATATTCATTATTGATTATTATTCAATAATCAAATTAAACAATCGTGGATATTAAACATAAAAATGTTTATGCCTTATAATTATTGCTGTGATCGTCATTGCAGCTAATGCATCATTATTTAGAGAAAAACGCGGTGATCAAAACAGCTATAACGGTGGCAATAATAGAAACTACGAGGAATCAACCTATACGTTTTATCAACAGCCAACAAGTACGAATTATAATAATCAACAATCTCAAACCAACACAGTAAAAAATACATGTAACAATGCCTAAACTATCTGTTGTAATAATTATGCTGAATAAAGTAAGTTTAATCGTTTTTTATATTAATAGATAGAATTTATTTTCGTTCATCATGAAATTTATCATTTGTTTTTTTATTTTATCAAAATTTTAATGTTATTTTAGACACTAGTTGTGACGCTATTACTTGCATGCGCTGTACGCGTATATAAGCGTGTGTTGTGTATCAAAACAATACGATTCTTGAGAGGAGCAAATAAATGATGGTGTAGTATCATCAGCGCATACACCTCTTCCATCAGAAATCGGTACAGAAACCTCTCGAGGTATCCCTCTCCGATTTCGTTCGTTCTTATATCATTTGATATGGAGTCTATGGTTTATTTTATTTCAAATTGAATTTTGGAAAAAAACTATACCCTTGTCTGACCAAAAAGTGGGGGAGCAAGGGAACTAGGGGACTAGAAGAACTAAGGGGGTTTGGGTCTGGGTGTCACTTTATTTAGGTCTATCTACACTCACCTATACTTATATCCACACCCTCAAATATTTTTTTGAAACCAATCAGAAATATGGATAGTGTTATGCTATTTTGCTTTAGTTCGTTTTATTAATTTTTAACCTCAATGTTAATCCGTTCTCTTCCAGGTATTTCTACAGTTATTGTAATATCTTTTCAGATGTAATTTCTTCTATCTTTCACCTAGATCTCTCTGTTTAGATATCATATCGATGATATCCTATGCACATCTAACTTTATACCTACATAGTTGCACTACATATATAAAGCTCGCGTTTTCTTATGTAAAAGTGTGTGAATAGTGTGGTCTTCTATCTTCATTGTAACAACGTTATTTATTATTTAGCTTTTATTAAACTTCAATACACTCAAGCACAATTTGCATTCAACATACTATATAACTTAACATATTTTTCTAATTGCATGATTCTTTCATTCTAGATAAATTTTCACTTATTTTACTATTTTATATTTTCACCAAATATAACCAACATATTCAAGTAAGTGAATAAGCGGTTTTGTTGCGAAGGGTATCGTTCGCAAAGTCGTTATTTTTTGATGCAATATGATGTAATATTAATCGTAATTTTTTTTCATTATTTCTAGTAATTATGGGTCCAAAACCCATTAAAAAAAATAATCAAAAAGACGATACTGCTAATTCAATGAGCGAATTAGCCTTTGGATCCACTGTGGATGAATTTGAAACAGGTAAGCAAAAATTATCAAAATTAATCATAATTATACTAAATTATGCAAAATTAACTAGGACAAGAAGATGAAGAATATTGGCTCGATGAAAACGATGAGAAACAGCTTGATGAAATGGCTACTGGCTATACTGAAATGATGGCTCTAACTGAAAATCTTCGACCTGGATGGAAAATCTTTGAAGTTGGTGTTGCGACAGACATATCATCTTTAGATGAATCTGTCAATAAGTCCACACAGGTAATTTTACCGATGTTTCTATAAAATATATAAAAGCTATCTAATAATAGGAAAATAATGATCCAACAAACAATTTATCGGTCGACAATAAAGAACAAAAATCCAATAATAAGTAAGTATTGATTCATAATACGATAGAGTGTGGGTCGAAATTCATTGCTGAGGATGGTATCTCATCATGTTCAAGATCCTTTCACACTGTGATTTTAGTCGAAAGAAGTTTTTAAATCTACTATGATACCTATATGTCTTTACCAGAAACTTACTAGCTAGTTAATATATCTTACGTTTCTTGTAGGCCACAGGGCAGCAGTAAAAGAAAACCAGACTGTTTAACACCACCGAAACCAGCGACTGGGCCAAACAAGGCTACCCGTGGCGATTCGGACGCACCTGTAGCGTCCTCAAAATCAACAAATACTTCATCGGTAAGCTGACTAGACTATTTGATTATCTCATCTATGTTTTATACTTCAATATAGAGTACTAATTCAAACCAAAAAAAATTACAATCAACATCCGATACATCAAATTCTGCTGATTCAAAAGACGTTCAAAAGGTTAGAACATAGTGTTGATTCATACTTGACTTACTTTTTTATCTTTGCTCCTTTGATTAAATTACAGGAACCTGATACACTATCTACAAAAGAACAAATCTGTTCGACGACACAATCGTCAGGGTTGGCAAGTGCCAATGATGAGCAGGTAATTGAGACCAAACGTATATATTATATTTCTCATACGGTCGTTTATTACAGCCTATCCAAAAATTAAAATCATTGGTAGGCGAGCGTATTGATGCTCATTGGCAACATAAGAACATTAGAGAAATCTTTTACAATGGTAATCAAAAAGATGTAAATACAATAAACTATTTAATATAGTCCTTCTAATGATATAATCATTTCTTGCATAGACTGAAAAGATTTTCCGACAATTATTGGAAAAACTGAGCAAGTACAATAATAAATCAGGAAATGACACTTTGTTGGTAAGACTCATAGTTATCATACTTATTAATTTCTGTTTCAAATCTCTATTAATTATAGCGTGCTCTTACACAACGAGGTGATAATCCTGCTTTCTTAACAGCTGCCGAGGTTGATGATGGTAAATTAGGTTGTGAGCTTCATCACACTAAGTATGCAGTCTATGTACTCACCATTGCTTTACCGAAAACAATTTATAAAAAGATGTTATCAGATAAGACGCTAAAAAAGCTGAAACTTCTTCAAGTTGAAAATGTTGATATTCATGAAGAAAAAAAAATAGTCAACATCAAAGGAAAAATAGGGGAATCAACGAATCTTCCTCAACGAAAGGCCAACTATTACAACTGCACAAGCCGTACAGGTACGTACAGTTGCTTTACAGAATGCACACATAACTAGTTGGTAGATATTATCAGAGATATTCATGGTGAAATAGCGGTAACCGATAACAGACTCTGAAAGAAACTTTCTAAGATGAACACAATATGTCATATTACGATAATTCTATTTTTCTGTATAGATTCGATTTCAAAGGTGGTAAACTTTCTTAGAATCAAAGGAGGTTATCACCGAGAAAAAATCGAACAAATGGTTAAAATTACACCATTGCTGTCACATAGTGACTTACGTGTAAGTTCATTCAAAAAAAATCTCGATAAAAGTCTGTAAACTTTGTTTCCAGTCCGTTCCCGAACTAATCCAAATGGAAACATTATGCTCAATGTTACTTGGACGGGAAGGGAACTTTGGCTTCAACTTCGTCGGCCGACCGAATCAAGGTTCAAAAGAAGAAATGCGCGAAAAAGGTGAGTATCATCAAACATACAGTTTCTTATATTGTACTCTTTGATAACATAAGCATCTATTTTTTTCAATAATGCGGGAGCTAGTCCTCTGAAATTTAGAAAGTTATTATTAATTTTTCTTTAGGTCGCCGTCTCAATGACTATATGTCACAAGAAATCGAGGTTGATGGTACGAAAGTCACTCGCAGGAAATTAGCTTGTACGTTAACGTCGATAGATAATTGATTGTATATTTCTCATTTCTTTTATAGATCAAAAAGGCGTCGAAACAAGAAAAAAAGAATTCCAAAAAGACGGTCGCACGACGAATACTTATGAACAAGCAGGTATGATATTCTCAGTATATAATTGATTGTATATTTCTCATTTCTT